TAACTTCCTTAATATTACACATTCACCCCAGATTTAAACAAATATATCACATTAACCCTCAAATTTTTTTTTAGAAAATAATTTTTTTCCGGCCAGATTCTGGCGTTGACTTCTTTTTTTTTTTTTTTGAAATTTTTTTTTTCTAAATTTTTTTTCTGACCGGTCAACCACCGTTGACCGCCGGTCTCCGGCATTGAATTTTTTTTTTTTTTTTTGAATTTTTTTTTCTTAGAAAAAAAAATATTTAAATTAATATTACTGTCTTGGCTACTAAATTACTGTCTCACACACTAATATTACTGTTTGGGACAATAATATTATGAATATTATTTTTCCGAACAGTAATATTATTGTCTAAGACAGTTAAATTACTGTTGGAGACAGTAATTTAGCATCCAAGGCAGTAATATTAATTAAAATAATTTTTTTTAAGAAAAAAAATTAAAAAAAAAATCAATTAACAATTAAATTACTGTGACAATTAAATAACTGCTGGAGACAGTAATTTAGCAACGGATACAGTAATATTAATTAAAAATATTTTTTTAAGAATAAAAAAGTCAATTAACAGTTAAATTACTGTCTCCGACAGTTAAATAACTGCTGAAGACAGTAATTTAGCAACGAATACAGTAATATTAATTAAAAATATTTTTTTTAAGAATAAAAAAGTCAATTAACAGTTAAATTACTGTCTCCGACAGTTAATAACTGCCGGAGACAGTAATTTAGCAACGAATACAGTAATATTAATTAAAATATTTTTGAAGAAAAAAAAAGTCAATTAACATTTAAATTACTGTCTCCGACAGTTAAATAACTGCCGGAGACATTAGTTTAGCAGCCAAGAAAGTAATATTAATTAAAATATTTTTTTAAGAAAAAAAAAAAATCAACGCCGGAGACATGGCGGTCAACGACAGTTGACCGGCCGGAAAAAAATTTCAGGAAAAAAAAAAGTTTTTCAAAAAAAAAAAAAAAAAAGGAGAAGAAAAAAAGTCAACGCCGGAGACCGGCGGTCTCCGGTGGTGGCGGGTTAAAATTGGGGTCAAAATTAAAATTAGGGTTAAAATTGGTTAATTGATGAAATTTGGCTAAATTGGGGTGCAAATCATGAAATTGGAGTTGAATTGGGTTTCAATGAATTGGGGGTAATTTTGGTATATGTAAAAGGATTTTTCTTATTTGCAAATAAATTTGAATGGGCTGGATTTATTTGAAAGACAAAAAAGTTGGATGTCCCTCTTTTAATTGAGTGCTCTTGTCATGGGCCTATTTGCCATTTACCCAATTAAATAAGCGGAAGAAAAAAAAATTAAATCACTTGTGCGTATATCACCACCAACACTACCATCACCATCACCAAACAATTCTTAATATTTTTTCGGTTTGGTTTCCATGATTATTAGGTTACAACGGCAACGAATGAGTGTAACCAAAGTCGTATGTGTGTATGTGCGCGCGTGGTTGCGTATGTGCGTATGTAGGTGTGTGATTATGTGTGTATGCCTACGTGTGGTTGTGTTGCAGAGCTTTTCAACGATGACAGCGGAGTAGGGATGAAGCACATTTAACGGAATGCAATGGGGTTGGACATAATCTAACGGAGTGTGGAGTGTTTAAAGAACACTGGACTTTAGCAAATTGCAAAAGTTAGCCTATCCTGATTTGAAAAACAATTAGAGCTAAAAAATGTTTAGCAAATTGGCCCTAAATTATATTTATGTACTACATATTGGAGATATTAATATTAAATGATACATTTCACTAACAGCTTAAGCTTTTGGTTGAGATGGTCATTCAACATGGTATCAGAGCCAGGCCAAATGAAAGGTCCTGAGTTAGAATCCCGCAGCCACCCATTTAAAAAAATATTTCAAGTGCAAGGCTTCAAATGTAATTCGCCTGCACTTGAGGGGGCATATTGGAGATATTAATATTAAATGATACATTTCACTAACAGCTTAAGCTTTTGGTTGAGATGGCCATTCAACACTACATTATCCTTCATGGTCTTCTACTCTTATTCGGTTATCAATATTAATTTTGAAGCCAACGAGTACTCAATAAAATTAGTAGTGACTTTCCCCCATCTAGGAAATATAGAAAATTGGGAAAATTAGAGCAAACCCCCCATCTAGGAAATATAGGTAAGGAAACACCCCCTTCAAAAAATAATTAGAAAAAACCCTATAGCTAATATTCCACCAATGTGATATTTTCATAAAAACTACCTTTAATTGTCTATTATACTTTTTCAAAACCCTAATCTTATTTTTAATTTAATTCCGCCGCTTTCTCGTTTCTCTTTTCTCCTTTTCTCTGCGTTTCTCTCTTCTCTTCTTCTTCTCTGTTTTTTCTCTTCTCTGTTTTCTTCTTCTTCTTCTTTTCTTTGTTTTCTTCGGCAATCTTCTCCCCATCGCTGCCGCAGCCGCCCCCGGAAGATGGAGAAAGAAAGAAGAGGAATCACTCGTCGTCGGTGTGTGGAGGAGAAACACTCTTCTTTCTCAACAGCATGTTCCACCCCGTCGGCGTGTGGAGTACGAAGAAGAGGAACAAGCTGTTGAGAAAGAAGAAGAATCACTCGTCGGAGGAGGAGAATCAACGGAAATTGTTATGAATGTAAATTTTTTTTTTACTTTATTATTTTTTAGTGTTGGTTTTGGTCAAAAATTATTTATGGAGTGACCAACAATGGTTGACAAATACCTTTGAATCGTTCTTATTTTTTTTTGTTGACATTGAAATGTTAATTTGTCTTTTTTTGTATGAATTATTTATTTTATTCTTGTTAAGGATTGGTTGAAATTGTGTGGTGCGACGGTGTGGTGACGATGGGGAAGCATATTTAGGGTTTTTTGGTGGATCGGGCAGAGAACGGCGCATGTAGAGAAATTCGCGCAGGCTGGAATCTTAATCTACTATGTACATGTTCAATAGTCGATTAAGCTAATCCACTATGTTCTGGTAGTCGATTAAGGTTGATCAACCCCAGTGTTTTTTCTTTTTTTTTTGGATTTTTTGTTTATTGATTCCAATTGTATATATCAATTATAATGTTGGTATATTTTTTGTTTTTGTAAAATATAGTTGATTTTGCTTTTTTTTTTTTTTTTGCAGTTGTGATTTGTTATTTTTATTAGCAGATTCTTAATCGACTATGCTCTGGTAGTCGATTAAGGTGTCGATGCCAATATTTTAATATTTTTTTTGGATTTTTTGTCTATTGATTCCAATTGTATAAATAAATTATAATGTTCCTATATTTTTTTTTGTAAAATATAGTTGATTTTGCATTTTTTTGCAGTTTTGATTTTTATTTTTAGTAGCAGATTCTTAATCGACTATGCTTCATCATAGTCGATTATACTGATATATAAAAAAAAAATTGAAAACAAAAAAGTTAAAAAAAATTAAAGAATTTCCTTAATCGACTATGCATCATAATCGATTAATTAAACTGATACAAAAAAAAAACGGAAAAAAAAGCAGAAAAAAAAATTCGCTGATGACCAGCGCGTGACGCGGTGATGATGTGGCGGGCGGGGACAAAACTGGAAAAGATAATAGCTGGAAATGGATGTGGGCTTTTCTCAAATAGAGAGAAATATTTTGGACCTCTTTCCATTAAAAGAAGTAATGAGGGGTTTTTCTCGAGGAGCTCCTAGAAAATAAGATTATTTTATCCCTTAAAAAACTATAGAATATATAGGGATTGTTGACTAATGATATATTATGGAGAAATCACGTTTAGTACCAATTTTTTTAACATAATTAATATTAAAAGTCTAATATGAGAAATTGAACACCATACAGAAAGTTAAATATATTTAATTTGATTAAATCCAAGTTAATTAATCCAACATGAATATGGACTTGAGAAATTTGAAGTCCAAAAAATAGAATTTTTTAAGTCCAATATCATCTACTCTACATCCATGGCTCTCAAGAATCCTACTTCAAAGAGTGTTGTACGTACCTTGCTGAAATAGTTTATTTTTTCTTTTAAATAAAATTTATCAAAATAAACGAGCCAATTGCACATAACCCCCTATGTAGTTTCGAATGGCCAAGAAAGCCCTCGTATTAAAAAAAATAGCAAACAGTCCCCCTATATTATTTTTTACGTAGCACATTGCCCCTTATTTTGTTTTTTGCTGTTGATTTAGATCAAATAATAAAATTATCCTTACTTCAAAATAAAACAAAATACTCAACCAAAAAAAATAAAAATAAATAAAATCCCAAAAAAGAAAAAAAAAAAAAAAAGAGAGAAAGAAAAAGGAGATAGAGCACTTCATCTTCCCACACCACCCACCCCATCTCCTGCTCTCCCTACAACCAAACAACTCTCTATTGAAGACCTTAAATGGTACATCCACCGCCGAACACGTGGGAGAGACACCGTTCACGAGTAACCGAAATTGTCTCCGACGATGGCCGTGGATATGGGCGTCGTGAGGGAGGTTCTTATGGCGGTGGTCGTGGTGGAGGCGGTTACGGTGGTGACCGTGGCTACTCTTCCCGCGGCGGAGGCAATTATGAAAGAAACTTTAAATTTAGTTGCATTTTTTTCGTAAGTTCGCGATCAAGTTTTCAGATTCCATTTTTGGTTTGGTTTTCATGACTACTCTATTTTTTATTGTTTGTTTTGAAGTTGTCCATGTACAAATAGTGTTTACAGAATTCAAGATCAATGAAAGAAGTGAGTGTAACACAAGCTGTCAAAGTCATTAAATTTTTTAACATGAGAGTTTTTTCGGCCATTAGAGATTACGCAAATGTGGTTTTTGCAAAAATCCCCAAACTAAATTTAAAAAATAATTTAATATTATTACTTATTGATCAACGTCAAATTACATGAACACATGGGATGCTAATAATACACAAACAAAAAAACATTAAAAATTAAAACACGCTACGAAACTAGCAGGCAACTAATAAATCTGAATTTGCCTTTCTCTAATCAAACCCTATCAAATAAATTGTTTCTACGTTCATCAATTACAGGCTGACGTGCGCATCGCAACAGCTTTACATAGTGGGCAAAAATTCTTCACACGCAACCATCGTTTGATACAGCATACATGATACTCGTGTCCGCATCCGAGGATTCCAACACCCGTCTTGTCTTTCTGGTGACACATACCATCCAAGCAAATCGCGCAAACTTCAGTTTCTTCCTCCTCGTCTCCTTTATTATCGAGAATATCCGGACATAAAATCTTTTTCTTCAGACACCTATCAATATCTTCCTCGGACAAACCACTGGCATTATTATTAGTACGATCTTCTCCAAGGTGAGTTTCCCCATACGCCGGGGTAAAAGACATAACCTGGCCAGTTCTCAGATCGAGCATTAGCAAAATTATGCGGGCAGACATGACTTCTTCGATCGATCTTTAATCAGAGATGGGTGAGAGAGAAAAATATTGGAATTTGTAAGCAGAGATTGTGATGTATGGGTTATGTTATGTGGTGTATATATAGAGTTTAATAATGTGATAAGCAGAATATCTCTCTAATTCCCTTATTTTTGGTAATACTTACCATATAATGTTACCATGTAGATTTGGAACATCTAATCCTATTTGGACTTCAATTCTTGGAGTTGATTAACGTCAATTTGTTAGATGCTTTGCTCGTTTTTTTCCATAAATAAATTATTATTATTATTATTATTATTATTATTATTATTATTATTATTATTATTATTATTATTATTATTATTATTATTATTATTATTATTATGGTTGCGCGTGAAGAATTTTTGTCGACCATGTAAAGCCGTCGCGATGCGAACCTCAGCCTGTAATTGATAAACCGAGAAACAATTTATTTGATAGGGGAAGACAAATTCAGATTTGTTAATTGCCAGTGAGTTGTAGCCTGCTAGTTTCGTAATTTGATTAGTATTTACCATCCCATGAGTTTATGTAATTTGATTGATCAACAAGTAATATTTATTAAAGTATTTATTCAATTGTTTCGTACTGTTTTTTTCCGCACGACCGCACCATATATATAATATATATCTAGTAATTTGTTTGATAATAATTTTATTCAATTGTTTCGTACTGTTTATTATTATTATTATTATTATTATTATTATTATTATTATTATTATTATTATTCTAAAAAATGAGGATTGAAGTCCGAATAGGATTAGATGTTCCAAGTCTACATGGATTAGAGAGATAGTCTGCTTATCACATTATTAAACTCTATATATACACCACATAACATAACCCATAGATCACAATTTCTGCTTATCAATCCAAAGTTTTTCTCTCTCAACCTGTGATTGTGAATTATCAGATGGCTATGGCGAGGGTAAATTTCTATTCGGATCCGAATCCGAAACTGGGTACGGGTATGGGTGTGGATTCAATTCCGATGGTTGTTGGTTGGTACGACGTTAACGTTCCGTCAACGGCGACAGACAAGGAAATAAAAATGGCTCATTGCGAGGAGGAAATAAAAATGGCTCATTGCGAGGAGTGCGTGAACGCGGAGAAGAACGGGTACACGGCGTCGTTTCATCTCTGCGTTAACGACCCGGTTGTCAAGCCGTTTGCAACGCGGTTCGGGCCCATTAGCCACCCAACAAACCGTTCCGCTGAAATTTGCTAGGTTTTGTCATTCAATACCAACAAAAAAAATAATTTAAAAAATTGGTATTTGATGCGTAGAATATTCTTAAAATTTGGGAGTGGAGAAGGTTAGAGAGTGGCGGTGTCAAAATTTGAACTTTATTGATGTTATTTTTTCTTTAGCAGTTACGACTTCTGTCCTATTTTATGATATAATTTATATAGATTATTTTTTTTTAACAAAGTAGGAATGAGTGGTTTGACTTTAAAATATTAAATTTTACATTTTTATAGTATTTTTATTATGTAGATATATATATTTTATTATTTTTAATAGTTGGTTAAATATCGTACGATACGATAGGATACACAGAGAAAAACGATAGGCCGATATTTTTCCATGTGTATGTAATTTGATGTTGATTAACAAGTAATATATATTAAAGTATCTTTTCAATTGTTCTTACTGTTTTCCGCACCATATGTATTAATTTATTTTCATAAATTTTATGTAAGACGAGATCATATTGGACTTCAATTAATTCATTAATTGAAAAGACTATGAATATTAGCAGGCAACATAAATCTAAATTATGTAATACCAATTAATTAGTAGAATAAGAGTCCTTGATAACCTTCTTAGATGACGTGGCACGATTTGATTCACTCTCTTTAAATTGATATTTATAACTTGGAAGAGAAAAAATAATCCTATTGACCAATAATGAATTGATAATTAACAAATAACAACCGAAAATTATCTAATAAAAAACGCGTCACAACCAAAATTAATTAATAGAAAACGATGTCACATGGAGGCGCTCGAAAGATAGAGGCACGCTAGGGTAAGTATTTATAATATATATAAAAAATACATCATTTTGTATAAATCGGTTCGGTTCGGGAAATCTGTTCGGTAATTTTTAAATTCTCCATACACAAACCGATATTTTCGGTTTTTCAAAAAAAATTTACCGTGTATGCGGTTTTAAGTCGGGACGGTACATATCGGCTCGGTTTTTTCGGTTTTCGGTTCGGTTTTTCGGTTTTTCGGTTTTTTTGCTCACCCCTAGTTGGTACCTAACATTTACCAATAGGGTAAAGGTCTAAGGTTCGAGTCCCCCCTCCTCTACTTCCTCTTGTAATAGACTTGAATTTACTAAATAAAAAAAAAGTTAACTTTCTAATACAACTTGAATCACCTGGACTGAATGTCGGTTGACATATTTATGCATGTTCAGTTACATTGTGAATTTTCGATAATTCAAATCATTAAAATTGTGGACATTGTTCATTGATTCATGCATATCATTCTCACCGAACATCCAATCTTGGTGATTCAAGTTGAATTAGACATTTAAGTCAAATAACATGCACCATTCCGTGTTTTGAGCTTTTGCCAGATTTAGACAAAAAAGGGTCCAAATCACTATTGAAGAATATAATAAAGATAAATTATATTACAAAAACATAAGTAAAAGCGTAAGTCAAAATCACGATTTAACCATAATATTTAATATTGGTATAACAAATATAAAAAAATTCATGAGAAAAATTAAAATGGTAAATTACAAAAACTCCCTTGAACTTAGGCTAAATAACAAAAAGCCCCGCACCTATCCCTAATAACCAAAATCACCCTCTGATTAATTGTTGATTAGGTTTATTAACAGAAAATGTGTACAATCTATTATAAGTTTTGTTAAATAGGTGAGAAATAAAAGAAAATATCTGAAACTGTGTAAAGTCTATTCCCTCAAATAAAATAAAACAAATTTCGTGAAAAGTCATATTGTAAAGGGGTTGGTCTAAAATGGAAGAAACCATGCAGTTTAGTCTTTACACCTTCCTGAACTTTACCTATTCAAAGGACTTTACCCATCGAACACTGCTCTTCTTAATCACCATCATTTAAACATACGTAAAATGGAAGAAACTACCTTATGAGTCATACGAGACCGTCCCTCTTCGAAATAATATAGAACTCGGTGCATTTTACCCCAAATGTGTATCTCCAGTCTAATTCTTGTCAAATTTGAGTACATAGGAACGGTAAATTCGTCTTTTAAGGCTTTAAATGTCATTACCCCATCTTAAGATGATTATGAAGAACAAAGATAAAAAATCGAATTTGGAAGAAAATTTCATCTAATTTGGAAGCGAATTTCATCAAATTGGAAAGATAATTTTGTAATTTGGGAACTCTAAGTAACTCTAAAGGAGGATTTTCAAGCGGAAAAAGTAAAATGACATACCCACCTTCAATTCGGCGAGACTTAGACCGGAAATACACATTTGGGGCAAAGTACATCGAGTTGTATATTTTGAAGGAGACGGTCTCATTTTTGTTTTTTGATGGGGAAAAGTGCAAAAACAAAAGATTATTTTTAGGGGGCAAAGTGCAATTTTCCCTAAAGGTTTTTATATTAAAAGCACCACTTACCTTATTCCCGATTTCATGTATTACTCCAATAGTCACTTGTTCTATGTCTTTAATTCTTTCTATCATTGAGAAATTATGTAAGCTTCCGTGGATCATGAATTAATTTCGCATAAAAACGCAGTGAAATAAAAATAATGATTCTTTATAAATGTATTACATATAACAGTAACATATGTTTAATTTCTTCAAAAATGACATCCATTTGTGGAATTTATGTAATTCACCTTCCAAAAAAATGTATATTGTTGAAAAATGTAACATTAGTTATTGTGATCATACAAGATATCCATTAAAAATTATGTTATTGCAGTAAAAAAGAAAATTTAATTACGAATATTTGATATTTTCCCCACCAATTTGTTTCACACATTTTTCATTTATATCATACTAATTACAAATGATAGTATATGTATAAAAATGAATCTAAGTAATGAGTATTTAATGACAAAAAAAAAAAAAAAAAAGACCCTATTACTATATATAAGCTGTCTCGCCGGAGTACAGGCGCACCAGAATTTTGAACTAAGTCTCTATTTGCAGCTAGCTGTTAGCATACACACAAAATCTCTTAGTTGATTTAGGAGTTAAGATCATTAAACGATAGTGTGAAACATGACCTTCATATATATTTTCTAATAAGGGAGGCTATCTTTTGGGTTTTACGGCACAAATAATGACTTTACGGCTGAAATTTAATTGCAAGCAATTAATCAATTATGCCATGTAAGAAATCAATAATTTTGTAATATTTGTTCAAAATATTATTCTTTTGTATAAGATAGTCATGAAACCAATAATATTCATCCTTCCATCCATAGTAACTTAGTTAAGTAACTACACATGCAAAAGATTTCCTGCAGCATGTCACAATTCCATGTCACAGTTTAAGAGTTATATTACAAGACAAGGGTAATTCAAGAATTTGATATTTTGTGTAGTCTCTGTTACATAGACACGGCAATTTGGTGGAGTATCCGCGTGTCGGAAATGTTTCGGACACGAAACGCGCGGAAACCCTTCAGATACTTCACTGGGCCGTGTCTGTAATTTCCCAAAAGTTGGACACGCGTATCAGTAAAAAAAAAACCTTTTTCTTTTACCAAGAAAAGCCTAAACTCGACTAAAAAACCCCTCTTTTATTCATTTTTCTCACATCTTATTATTCTAAGCCAGTAAGTTCACATGTATTTATTTGAATAAGTTAATAAAAGTTATAAGTAAACTGTATTATTAATAATAAAAAGAATTTTTAAAAATTATAAAATGTACCCCTATTTTTTTTTTAATATTGACACGTATCCCCCACGTTCCCGTGTCCTGCTTTTTTTGATAAAATGTTTCCCCATGTCCGTATCCACGTATCGCCGTGTCCCTGTACCTGTGTCTATGTAACATAGTGTGTAGTTATTTATGTTGTTATAGGTCATCAAAGTTGCACAATGAAAGTTTACATATTCAATCAAACCTTTAAGCTGATGAGATGCCCCCACTTGGTGCCAAATTTTGATCCCTAAGAAACTAAAACATTCCAAATTGTTATTGAAACAACAATTTCGGGGTGGAGACTATTAACAAAGAAAAAGAATAAGTAGTACCTTGTGGTGAACCTGGAAGCCAAAAAGGCATTGGATTTTAGCACTTAGATATGTAAATCCACGGGTAATATATTTTATTCATATGTTCTTAAAATCAGATTTCAGTGATTGGTAGAGAGAGAAAGATCGCAGAAAAACTTTTACAATAGAAAAAACCCTTTTACATACGAATGTTTGAATTTGAGAAATTGGGATGTGCTTTGGGGTACGTAGGAGTTTCAACAAATACCATATATGAATGACCATTCATATTTCATGGTGTTATAACTATGATTATTGCATTAAAGACATGGTTTCATATGAAAAGTCATTTTAACACAACAAAAACGAAACGGAAGAAACAATAGTGGGAAGTTTGGAAGACAAAGCATAAAAAAGTGCTGCGGTTAAAAAGATATTTTCTAATTACTGTTAATTTACTTATTTGTCCTCCGTATTTCATCTTACATAAGGATGTTTTGAATTCATGTTTCTTTGGTACTTTAATATTTAATTTTAATGGAAGATATAAATTTTAAATTGTTTTGATATTTGATGTAATAGTTAATTTTGATTTATTGCAATTGATAAGACATGTTTAATTTGTCATTAGAAATAATGAAATATTGAATTTATTAGAAAAAAAGGCAGTTGCAATTGCAACGAATATATGAATCGTCGCAAAAGAGAAATATTATATTTGCGACTAAATATATGTCAAAATCCGTCGCAATGTAACTTTGGTGTAGCTACGAAATCCATTTTTTCGATGCAATAATATTAAAAACTTTTGCGACGATTTTGACATTAAAGTCGCAATTTGTTGTCACGAATATTAAAACGTCGCAACGGCATGCGACGAAAATAATTTATTTCGTCGCAATGATAAACAAAATCAATTTTCTTGGAAAATCTAATTATTGCGACGGTATGGATTATTCGTCGCAGTATGTACGACGGAAAAAATATTCGTCGCAGGTTTTGCGATGACACCCATAGCGTATTAGATTCGTCGCAATCATGAAAATATCGTCGCGAAACTCTTGTTTTCGTCGCAATTTTTCGTCGCCAGTGTTGTGTTTTGGCCTAGTGACAAGTCTAAATTTAGCAAATCCATGAGGCGCCACACGTTTGATGGTATGCTTGAAGACAACATGTTGGAATCTAGAAAGAGCTTTCTTAAAGATGTAATATTTCCTAAACATTTAAGAATCGAACCATAAAATTTATTTTGGCTCAAAGATAAAGTAAATAAGCTTTGTAAATCACAAAGATCCTTTGGAATGGAACCGCGCATATTATTTTTTTCTAGATATAACCCTTGAAGCTTATGCATATTTTATACAGTACCAAACAACTCATTCCCGCCTAAAGAAAGTACCACGAGGTTGCTTAAATTACCGATTTTTGCCGGGATGATACCCTTAATTTTACAATTGTCGCCCAATAATATTTGGAGGGAGGTAGAAAAGTTCCCAATGGAAGTTGGAATGGTTCCATCTAGAGGATTATCACTAATTTGGAGGTTCTCTAGAGATCTGCAATTTGTCAAGGAAGTTATGAAACTCAGTTCTACAGAAGATGATTCACTCATTAGATTGTTTTCGAATAGGTGAAGACGTACCAGGAGTCTTAGGTTACCAAAAAAGTAAGGTACGGAACCGGTGAATTTGTTAAAATTGAGTGCGATGATTCTGAGTTTAGAACAATTAGCAATGAAGCCGGGTATTGCTTCATTGAAGTAATTTGAACCAAGGCCAAGGTGTTCAAGAGCGGGTAACCCGTAATCCAAATTTCTCGGAAAACCCCCTGTTAGGCCATTCCCTGTGAGTGCAAGGATTTGAAGATTTGACATGTTAAAGAACTCTGGTGGAATTAAACCACTCAAGTGGTTAAATTCCAATCCTAATTCTTCCAGCTGGTAAAATTTGCCAATTTCTCGTTGTAAATCACCTGCCAAGATTAATAAAAGGGAAATACCGGAAATGTTGAAAAAACCAGAGGATATTGGAAGTCTTGTGTTTTATTCTACTTAGTAGTCAGATTCAGACCTGTTAATTTGTTGTACGAGATATATAAAATTTTGAGCTCCGTAAGATTTGCCACATCTTTTGGGAGGTTTCCAGACAATTCATTGCGATTGAGGTGTAAAAGTTGGAGAGAAGAAATATTGAAAATACTAAGGGGAATTGAAAATCCAGCCAGGTTTTGAAGATTGCCGATCTCCAATGGGATAGCCCCTGAGGAACACACAAAATAACTGTCATGAAATAGAAATATACAAGCATCATATCAATGATGTTAAGATCGAATGAAAGAAATAGAACATTCGGTCGATCTAGTGATGTAAGGATGTTAGACCAGTTAAATTGTTATCACCGAGATATAATATCTGAAGAAATTCTAAATTGCCAATTTCTCTTGGTATCTTCCCACTAAAGGAGTTGGTCGTTAGCGAGACAGTTTGAAGTTGTGAACATTGCGACAGACTTGATAGAATTTCGCCACTTAGCTGGTTTTTAGCTAGGTAAATTCCTTGAAGAAATGGAAGATGAGTGCACATGTCACTTGGAAGGCTACCACTCAATTCATTTCCTGTGAAAGCTATAACTTCCAGGGTCGGCATGTTAAATATGGATGATGGTATATGACGGGAGAGACGATTCTCTTGAATGACCAAATCCTGCCGATTGTGAAGCCTTCCCATATCTTCTGGAATACTTCCTTGAAGAGAATTGAAACAAAAATCAAGATCTCGTAGATTTGTCAGATTAGAGACGGAAGTTGGAATGGAACCGGTAAAGCTGTTATTTCGTAGAGAAAAATACTCGAGTTTAGTTAGCAGACCCAACCACGGTGGAATTTCTCCACTCAATTTGTTTACTCTGAAAGAAATATACTTCAATCTGTGTAGAAAGGACAATTGTTGAGGAAGAACACCACTGAAAAGGTTGAAACTAAAATCGAGTGAAACAGGGAAGGAGAGGTTTCCTAGTTGTGGCGGAACTGCGCCCGAGAGATTCATGTTGGAAATATCGAGTGCAATTACTCGATTATGTCGCACACCGCAAGTGACTCCAATCCATCTACAGACAGAGCTCGAATTCGTCCAATTTTCGGTAAGTATGTTAACAGGATCCAAAGTGATATGAGATTTCAGGGCAAGAAGAGCAGATTTATCGGTTTCGAGGGTGGTCGAATATTTTATGGCTAGGCAATAATAAGACATTTGGAGTAGGACTATACATGCAAGAATACAACAAGTTTTCCCCATCATTATATTACTTGCTATAAAATTATTTTGGTGAACTCCACATAACTATGGGTGGCATTTATTTATATAGTTAAATACTGAAATTCATTAGCTCATCGATGAGTCTCCTAAGAGTTGGAAAATTGCTACAAATTTGTGGTTTATATTTCCTTTGAAATTTATATACGAACAATTTCCATAGACTTGACTTTAAAAGTCCTTATCGGTCGACACTGATATATAAACTGATATCTCAACAAAATTTCATCCAAAGGGACTGATATTAGACAAAGCTTGAGTTGTGTAAAGATTCCCATCCATTGATTATAATGAATTGAGTATTCAAACCATTTCTCACACATAATACAATTGGAGTTTATTGCATTTACTATTACTGTGAAAATAAAAAAATTAGCAAATATCCCACGTGCTTATTAGTCAAAGGCAAAAATCCCTTCAGAGCAGATCGTGCACCTCACTCGTAAGTTGTCTGTGAAATGACATAATTGTCCCCAAAGGCCTCATCTCTTCTCTTTCTCTCTCATCTCTTCATCTTGTTCCACTGCTAGCTGTTTTTTTTTTTTTTTTTTTTTTTTTTTTTCTTTCAACACATCTTCTCACCATGTTCAATGGAGATTTCAAAAAACAAATGGGTAAAGCTTCACATCATAAACAAATCATTTGTTTCGATTTTCTCCACCTTCAAATCCAGGGTACAAAATACACACGCAGGCGCAAAATCTGCGCTTTTTACACACACGATAAGGCTGCCGGGAATAGAGCTCAAATTCAAGCTAATAAGTAGAAATAATATTCAGATGATTGTAACTATATATTATCAAAGTAATGAAAATATGGTGCCAAAAACAGCAAATTAATTGAAAATTAGGTAAATAATACGTAAAAAAGCACGACTATAAATTAGCAGGCAACATAAATCTGAAATTACCTAATACCAATTAATTGTTTTTCCACATTAATCTATATTTTCGATCCGACGTGATGCGACTGCTTTACAGAGCGGACAAGAATTCTTGGTACGCAACCATCGTTTGATGCAACACACATGATATTCATGTCCGCAGCCGAGAACTCGAATCGCCGTTGTCGTGGTCTCCTCATTTTCTTCTTCACAAGACGTGATCATATCATCCAAGCAAATCGCACAAATTTCATCACTCTCCTCATCCTCTCCTTTACGACACGAATTCCTCGTTTTCAGACAGTTTTCGATATCTTCTTCGGACAAACCACTGCCGTTAACGTTTTGACTCCGACTCATCCTATGATCTTCTGTTACAGCTTGTTCGGTATCACCAGCCCCAATAACCCAAATTACAGAGTCATCTATTGCATTATCATATATCATCCTATGATCTAGGACATGATAATATATGGTGCCGTTGTTAATTTGCCTGAAACGAGGAGGCTCATCATACATTAATTCTTCCATCGATCTTTCACAAGGGTGAGAGAGAGAAGAGATGGAATTAAGCGCATATATATATATATATATTGGTATCTATATTATACCTTGTATATATAAATAGTTTAAGTAATTAATGTGTAATAAGAGTTCGAGTATCGCTCTAATTCCTTATTTTTCGTAATACTTGCCATATTATGGGAGTAAATTGCAAAAAGTACCCCTGTGTAATATAAAAATAGCGAAAACCCCTTGTGAATTTTTTAAATAGCACATAGGACCCATTGTGATTTTAGTCATGGGTAAATGGCAAATAGGCCCATTGATAAGAACATTTAATTCAAAAAGAGACATTCAATTTTTTTGTCTTTCAAATATTTATTTGCAAATAAGAAAAACCCATTTATATATACCAAAATTACCCCCAATTCATTGACACTCAATTCAACTCCAATTTCATGATTTACACCACAAATTAGTCAAATTTCACCAAATAACCAATTTTGACCCTAATTTCAAATTTGATCCGCCACTACCGGAGAACTCCGGTCTCCGGGGTCGACTTTTTTTTTTTTTTTTTTTTCTGAATTTTTTTCCGGTAGGTCAACCGCCATTGACCGCCGGGTTTCCGATGTTGAATTTTTTTAATCAATATTACTGTTTGGCTGCAATTACTGTATCTAGCAGTTATTTAACTGTTGGAGACAGTAATTTAACTGTTAATTGAATTTTTTTTTTATAAATATTTTAACTAATATTACTATCTTGGCTGCTAATATTTTAATCAATATCGCCAAACACTAGGAGAATCCGCGTATCAGACGCCGGACTCGCCTGGACTCGCCAGGACACGGCTCAGACACCGTGTCGGGCCGTATCTGAATTTCCATAAAGTGTCGGGCCTGAGTATCGTGCCGTTTTGCAATTTTATAAAGTAGGGGGACGCGGCAGTGTTCAATTTGGACACTGCTTGAGATGTAATTTCAGCGTTTCTTTCATTTGAAAGTGCGTTTCTTTAGTTTTTTTCTTCTTTTTTTTTTCATTTTTCTTTTTTAAATTAAAATAGACAGCATATTTTGTCAGAAGACAAATAACACAGAGCAAAACTCGATTCTTCTTCTCTTCTATGCAAAAAATTATATATATATAAATATTTGTAAATATATAAATATATTATTTATAATTTATAAATATACCCCTATAATTTTAATAATTATAAAATACCCCTATATTTTTAATATTTACGCGTATCCACCCCGGTGTCCGTATCCTACTTTTTTAGGAATGCCGGATCGCGGTGTCCGTATCCGCGTATCGCGGTGTCCGCGTATCCGTATCCGTGCTACATAGATATCATCTTCATCTACTCTACATCCATGGCTCTCAAGAATCCTACTCAAACAGTGCTGTACGTACATTGCTGGAATAGTTTCTTTTTTCTTTTAGATAAAATTTATCAAAACAAAATACTTAACCAAAAAAAAAAAAATAAATTGAAGACAAAATCACAAAAAAGAAAATAAATAAAAAAAGAAGGAGGGAGAGAGAGAGAGAGAGAGAGAGAGAGAGAGAGAGAGAGAGAGAGAGAACGCGCTTCATCTTCCCCACACCACCCATCCCATCTCCTGTTCTCCCTACCGCCATCCACCGCCGCACACGTGGGAGAGCCACCGTTTACGAGTAACCGAAATCGTCTTCTACGATGGGCGTCGTGAGGGAGGTTGTTATGGCGGCGGCCGTGGTGGAGGCGGTTACGGTGGTGACCGTGGCTACTCTTCCCGCGGCCGTGGTGAAAGAAACTTCAAATTTAGTTGCATTTTTTTTAGTAATTTCGTGATCAAGTTTTCACATTCCGTTTTTGGTTTGGTTTTCATGGCTACTCTATAAATCAAGATTACACAAAGATGGGTTTTTGCAAAAATCCCCAAATTAAACTATATATGGTGCGGAAAACAGTACGAAACAATTTAAAAAATATAATTTAATATTATTACTTGTTGATCACCGTCAAATTACATTACATAAACACATGGGATGCTAATAATACACCCACGAAAAAAAACAGAATTTAAAACATGACTACGAAACTAGCAGACAACTAATAAATCTGAATTTGTCTTCACCGGTATCCTAATCAAACCCTACCAAATAAATTGTTTCTACGTTCATCAATTACAGGCTGACGTGCGCATCGCAACAGCTTTACATAGTGGGCAAAAATTCTTCACACGCAACCATCGTTTGATACAGCATACATGATACTCGTGTCCGCATCCGAGGATTCCAACACCCGTCTTGTCTTTCTGGTGACACATACCATCCAAGCAAATCGCGCAAACTTCAGTTTCTTCCTCCTCGTCTCCTTTATTATATATCGAGAATATCCGGACATAAAATCTTTTTCTTCAGACACCTATCAATATCTTCCTCGGACAAACCACTGGCATTATTATTAGTACGATCTTCTCCAAGGTGAGTTTCCCCATACGCCGGGGTAAAAGACATAACCTGGCCAGTTCTCAGATCGAGCATTAGCAAAATTATGCGGGCAGACATGACTTCTTCGATCGATCTTTAATCAGAGATGGGTGAGAGAGAAAAATATTGGAATTTGTAAGCAGAGATTGTGATGTATGGGTTATGTTATGTGGTGTATATATAGAGTTTAATAATGTGATAAGCAGAATATCTCTCTAATTCCCTTATTTTTGGTAATACTTACCATATAATGTTACCATGTAGATTTGGAACATCTAATCCTATTTGGACTTCAATTCTTGGAGTTGATTAACGTCAATTTGTTAGATGCTTTGCTCGTTTTTTTCCATAAATAAATTATTATTATTATTATTATTATTATTATTATTATTATTATTATTATTATTATTATTATTATTATTATTATTATGGTTGCGCGTGAAGAATTTTTGTCGACCATGTAAAGCCGTCGCGATGCGAACCTCAGCCTGTAATTGATAAACCGAGAAACAATTTATTTGATAGGGGAAGACAAATTCAGATTTGTTAATTGCCAGTGAGTTGTAGCCTGCTAGTTTCGTAATTTGATTAGTATTTACCATCCCATGAGTTTATGTAATTTGATTGATCAACAAGTAATATATATTAAAGTATTTATTCAATTGTTTCGTACTGTTTTTTTCCGCACGACCGCACCATATATATAATATATATCTAGTAATTTGTTTGATAATAATTTTATTCAATTGTTTCGTACTGTTTATTATTATTATTATTATTATTATTATTATTATTATTATTATTATTCTAAAAAATGAGGATTGAAGTCCGAATAGGATTAGATGTTCCAAGTCTACATGGATTAGAGAGATAGTCTGCTTATCACATTATTAAACTCTATATATACACCACATAACATAACCCATAGATCACAATTTCTGCTTATCAATCCAAAGTTTTTCTCTCTCAACCTGTGATTGTGAATTATCAGATGGCTATGGCGAGGGTAAATTTCTATTCGGATCCGAATCCGAAACTGGGTACGGGTATGGGTGTGGATTCAATTCCGATGGTTGTTGGTTGGTACGACGTTAACGTTCCGTCAACGGCGACAGAC